CCAAATTAATGCATCATTATAACTGCTATGTAAAAACATATCTGCTTATCATCCATGGACGAATAGGCTAAAGCAACCACAAATCTATTCGTTTTCCTTCAATTTTAGAAATGAGAATACCGTCATCTCAAATTTAGTGAATGATTAGGTATAACATCGTTTTTCTAATTAAATTCAACTTTCATTTCACAATTCGTTTTAACAAAATCCCTGATCTCATTTTCATAAAAATCATATGCAAAATTTAAAATCAACAAATTCATTTCCAAAAATTTTGAATCAATTCAAAATCAATGATTGCCGAAGCAGAATTAAAACGCATTTCCTCTCTCTCCCTCTCCAAAATAAATTCATTGTGCAACAGTGTACAAGTAACCATAAAAATGACGCATATGAACCAAAATACAAAGCAACCAATGGGAAAACATATACAGACAAAAGGATTACATTAAAATGCGCATCTCCAATTATTGATAAGCTTCGATCTCTTTATCTTTCATTATTGGAAGTTGAACAGATCGAAGCTTATCTCTTTTTATTCAAAGATTCCAAGAATTACATGTTCTGGATGTGAGTTCCACTGAAGTAAATTTAGACAAAATTTAGAAAGAAGAAATTTTAACTGGGAAACAAATGCACAGAAATATTCATTTCGACAATACAAAAACACTGTTTACAAAATGAGTCTCAAAAGTTTAAAAGCGTAAGGTTGATGAACAATGCGATTAATATCATTAAGCTGTACCTACTTCAGTATGATACCTTCTAGTAATTGAGACCTACTAGAAATATCATTCTCGATACTCTGGAAGGTAAATTCAAGCTTGAATTTAATAAAATTGCAAATGACCAGGCATATTTTTCTAAAAAAAAAAAATGTTTTGATAAACGGAGGAAATAGGAAATGCCCTCCCAACTTTTTTATTACACAAAGAGTTATAACTCTAAAAAAACGAGAATAAAAAAGCGAAAACGCATATGGTTATAGTTTTATTATGACAGAAACCTATTCCCTACATTCTCAATCTTCAAACTCGATCCCCTATCTTTACATAATTGATTTCGTTAAATATATTCAATCACTGGAAATCACATTATGGATTATGGATACTACAAAAAATGAATCGAAAACATCTCCGAAATCTGAAATTTTGAAAATGAAACCCGAACAATTTGTCGAAAGAAACGTCTTTTCATTCAAACAGAGAGAGAAGCAAATTTCTGTGCCACAGCTTGCCACTGAAGTTCACTGCTGCCAATGCCTTGCACTGCTGTCAACGATGGCCAATGTTTCTTATGAATGGCGATTACCTGAAATACGAAAGCAAAAGATGCCACATTTGATGCTGTCTCAAACGTATGGGAAAACATTATGACAGTAGTTTCAATACAAACTTTCTTGTGATATATCTCCCACCCCCCC